AGATTCGTCCTGGGAGTAAAGACCCAGATGAGACCATCCCACCTTTCCTGCTCACTGAGTTTCCAATTATTCAATCCAATGTATGAAATTCAGACAAGTTTGAAATGGCCACAAAAGCTTGTCCTTAAAAAAATATTTTGCTTTCTGTAAAAATGTGGGGAAACCCCAACATTTTTATTGTAATTGAACAGTGTTCCGAATTACATTTTTAAAGTTTTTCCATTAAAAAAAGCGCCATTTTTATCAGAAGATTCTAAGAATTTCCATGTCAAAGTTCTACAGGGTTGAAAAGGCATTTCTCATCCAAACCCAAACATTTTGCAAAAATATTTCAACCAGCTTAAACAGTAATGCAATTTTAGAGTGCACAGATATAGGTCCAACATAATGATATATTAGAATGTTGAGCTATCACTGGTCTGTGATACTACAATCTCTTAAAAGCTTGTAGCATTTTAATAAGAAGTGAGACCCAATTCAAAGTAAAGAGAAAACCCTTAAGCTCAGAGTAGACATATATAAACTGACAAGCTGACTATATTATCTAAACTGCTGTTTTATAGCTGTATTATGCACTCAATCTAAAAAAAAAAAAAAAAAAGGAACATAAAAAAATGTATAAAGATAAAGCACTAGTGAGGGGTGGAGCTGTGTTTTTTTCATTAGATACATTCTTTGATTCCCCTGCCTAAAATGCTGCAGTCAGCAGTAGCTTAATTCTAAGTTATAATTAGGGTTATGCATTAAACCAGGACTCTTGAGCATGTCTAACCTAAAGAAGTTCAATGCATAAATGAAAAACAGACCTGTGGCTGGCTGACTTGGCATCAACTAGGATACCAATATATAGTAACAGAATAAATTTAAAATGAAAATTAAATGTGGTCATTACAGCTTAAATTGATGCTATATTTGCCAACTGTTTATGAAAGGAAAAATTAAAGATAAGCATGATTTTGGAGGAGGCAGTGTGACCTGATACACAGCAGCTTGCTGTGACTTGGGGTGCATTTTAAAATAATTTCACACCAATTTTTCAGTCTACAAAAATGAAGTAAACTTTTTTTTTTTTTTTTAAGATTAGTTTCCCCCAGATTGCACATGGCATTTAAATGCACAACTGCATGGTACATTTTAGCTAATGAAAGACTATTTTTAATGCTCAGAAATTTTGTTGCTTTACAGCACTGGTTATTAACACCAGCAAGTCAGAGAGTAAAGAAAAATTCAGATCTGCAGGAGAGTTAAAAGCCTTAGAAAATTAAGTGAAGATGCCTTTTGATAGGATATTACTATCCTTTCTATTTACTGCACTTTGTATTTCTGGCACAAAAGGTAGAAAGTATCTTTAAGGACAGTTTCCTTCAAAAACTGAACAAGACAGTGAACTGTAGAGAGAACTTTTCCAATTTTCTGCCTTTCAGCAAATACTTCAATTGGTGTGAAACACATTATTTTGGGATGCTCCTAAGCCCTTTTAAGGTATGATGTTGTTTAGCACCAGTATGCATTTCACAACCGTGCAGCTTAATCTCATGCAAATCAAGTATTAAAGTGTGTAACTGCCACGCCAATAAAACCAGAATCACAGAAGGGCAAAACTGGATGTCAGCAGTGGCTGAGCATGGCTTGCATGTGACTTACGACTTGGGGATACACCTTTGCATACCAGCTGCTCTCTGGATATTGGGAAGAATGGCCACAGCCTCGATTTTCTCTGTTCCCAGCAAGGGTCAGGCTGTAAGTGAAGCATTCCAGAGGAGACCGCTGGCGTTGGAGCAGCGATGAGCAGAGTCCCTCCACTGACCTCGATCCTACAACTCCCTTCACGGTGAGCACGTTCCTCCATGTGTTTAAAGCTCTGCAAAGAAGTGTGAGCTCCTCTGCTTCTGTGCAAATTAGTTACAAACCAACAATGGAAGCACTATTTAGAAAAGGTGGAGGCTTCTGTTTTGTTTTGTTTTTTCTTTTCTTTGTGATGATATTTACTCAGTAAAGAAACAAGGTGCTGAGCTTTCCAGCAGTAGCTCAGCCATTTGTATATGGCTCATTCAAATATATAACCTAGTGTTTAAGCATGTGCTTAAATCTAAGCAAAAGAAGTCCCTTTGAAGTCATACCATAACAAGACATGCACCTAATGTTAAAACACATATTTAAGTGCTTTACTGGATTGAGGCCAGAACGCCTTGCTTGCAGGATCCAGCTTCCAATATGTAGGCTTAGATCTTAATTTACTAAGGCCTGATCTTAAGGAATAAGATTGTGCAAAACTGAAAAAACTTGCTTTGTTATCACATCCATTACCCTTCTGAGTCCCTTGGGTCTCAGATAGGCCCTGTGGACATGCCTTTATACAAGGCTGCTGCAACCACACTGAAAAGTTGGCCAAACTTCAAAGAACAAAAACTTGATTTTATGTGTGTGTGTATAAATATATATATACACACACGTGTGTGTGTGTGTACATATGCATGACATGCATGTGTGCGTGCATATGTATGAACTTAAGAGGCAATGAACTAGAGTTAAACAATTGTTTTTGTAAGGTGCATTGATTACATCAGTGATGTTTCCTAAATAATTGAAGGTTTGCTTTGATCTTTGATTGTAGGCTTGGCTTTATGACAGCTAATGTAAGTATCTTTAACTGATTCCATCCTACACTTACCTATTATACAGCCTAACACAGGGTCACTGCCGTTCATCTGACAAGAAAATGGGTGAATTCAGGAAGCAAATCTAGCAGGAAACTATTCCACTGAGGAGAGGGGCGGGATTCAGGTTCCTGCCAGTTTTAAATCTCTGAATTGAATCACTGTGAGGTCAAACCATCCTCAGTGCTGATGCCAGGGAAGCTACCTGAGCAGGCAGGTGGGGAGCAGGGATGAGCACCAGACCTCCCGCAGTCCTCGCTGTGTCGAGCTGCTCTGGGTCACCCCTCTGCAGCAAAATCTTCCCCTGTCGAAACAAATACTTCAGCTAAAGGATACAAACAAGGATTCTTATGTAAAATAACTTCTTTCCTTAACACGGTGCTTTTTTCAGATACAATTGCCAGTTAAGGAGATGGAAGAGGTTAATCATCCACCCAACTGACTGCAAGCAGCCTAACAAATAAGCAGAGATCAGCCCAGAGGCCCTCGGCGCATGTAAATCAGCATCGTTTCATCAAGCTTGGAGCTTACACCATCATGCACTCGTTCAGGATCTAAAACCCAAATCTGTAAATGAAAATGATGCTAATTACAGTTCACCACCGAGCAGCACTACCTTAATTTTAAGGAAATGAAGGAAACGGGCTTGCTCCGTGACAGTCGATATCATATTTGCCATACAACTAACTTAAAGTTGTATAAGTTAGATTATAACTTTTGAAGAAGCAATTATGATTTTATTGCACCCACTCTGCTGATGATTAATGCAGAGAGCCTAGGGGAAAATGCATCCTATCATTTGCTAACATGCACCATAATTATGCATACCTCTCCAGGTACTGTAATTTAGGACTTAAAAAGCAACATTCTGAACGAGGACTGCTGCACTTGTAAAACATTACAGATGTGTTATCATATAAATGAGGTAGCTTTGACATGATAGTGTTCTAATAAATCCTCAGCTAAGATTTGGAGACAAGATATGTCAAAAGCAAAATCCAAACTGTCTCTTAATCTTCTACATAAACTGTTTATTTTTTCTGAGCCCTACAATAATACATGTGTCAAGAAGGCTTTGATGATTTCTAGATTAAAGTACAGTTGGGTTGGATTTTTTTCCCCCTTTACAGGTCATCTTGAGAATGCTCATTTTAGTTAAATTAACTCAGCTATTTGCAGGTTTCAAATGTGAAGCAAAAAAACCCCAGTTTTCCCCAAATTGGGAACTTGTGAGATGAACTTCATAAATAACAAACAAATTTCACTCCATTTCAGTGAAGGTTTTTAAATAGCTAATGCTAAATGATCTGTCAGCCAAAGAGCTTCATTTCAAACCATTTGCAACAAATCCAGAAGAAGAAGAAAAAAAAAAAGGCAAAAAACACCCTACTTTGTATACAGTGAGATGAATTTATGACACTCCCCGACTTATGTTCATTCTGTTTTTTTTTTATTTATAATCACAATACTGACATGATGTCTCAGCCAAGATTAGGACCCCATTTTGCTTCACAAGATACTGGAGAGGAAGTTCCTCCCCCTGCACAGCTGAAAGTACAGTCCAAAAAGAGAAGTTTGGGACAGGGAATAGCAGAAAAGTAGCAATATGGCAGGCCCACTCATAGATAAGAAGCTGGGAATAAAACATGAATTTCTCAGTGTGATCTGAATTAAATCATGATGTTTCTAGGTGTTCCTGATGCTACTCAGTTACATGTCCCTCATAGCTAGGAAAAATGTTGGTTTTCTTTTCAAAGTACACTGCACAGAGCAGATCTCACACACAAAACTGCTCTGGGCTGCTCCTGGAATAAAACAGCAAGGTCCTTCCGGGCTTTTAGTGGGACATTTCTAAAAGCTGCCTTGGTAAGTGTTAGGGAAGGAAGAAAAAAAAAAAACAACAACCCAAATAAACAGGAAAGGCAGGATTTAACATAATAAAGCGTGAACAGCAGTTGGATGTTATACCAGCATCTGCTCTAATTATGCTATGTGAGTGGTTCAACTGCATTTTGTGGTTGACTGTGCTGAAAGCCTCCCATAAGTTGAGCTGGTAGAATTCTAGATTTATTGCTATTCAAAATCAACGGCTAAAATCAACATATATGTGTAGTTATTCAATCCAACTTGCATTGTCAGCCATAATTTTTCATCAATTTCATATTTTTTTGCCAAAACAACAACATAAATTTAAAAGCTTTTTAACAATGTGACCACAGATTAAAAAAAAAAAAAATCCAAGAGAGCTATTCTATTTGATATACTACAAACACCCTAGTTCCCAAAAGCAGATTGTTTTCAGGTGTATTACCCCACTTCTTGTGTCCAGTTAAGATTTTTCAGCCAGCAAACAAAAAAATCTTCATTGTATTCTTCTACTTGCCTGAAAAAAACAACCTAAAGTGAGGAAGTTTTATTATTTTTATTTCAGTTTTCTGAAAATATTTTGTTAATTGTTTGCTATTTGCCTTATTTTGCCTGATGTGAAAACAATCAGATCAAGACCCTTTCTTTTACAATCACTGTTCTTGCAATTGTTCTGGTTGCTGGTAATGTCTTTGTAGAAATAAAGCACATCCAGCTGTCTGAGGTACTTGTAAAAAAAATTTAGTTTGCCTTCTGTCTTCGACTTTTCAAAGAAAACTGAGTGTACATAAATTCAATATTCACATACATTTCAGACCCGGATAGTTCTCACAACACCTGGTAGTAGGCTCTGAAAATTATTGCTGTTCATTTTCCCAGAAATGCAGCAATCTCTTCACTTTGTGATCTCCTCCTTCTCAGGGAGAAATTAAACCCAGCCTCAGTTTTCTCACAGTCACATTAAAAAAAATTAACATTTTGTAGGGCTAATTAAATATCCTGTCTGGCAGAATCTGTTACCCTGTTTTGCATTGATAAAATAGACCTGTTTTACAGAAAAACTTCTCAGGAGGTTTTTATAATTCTGATCATTTCAATATTTATCTCCAACACTCCAAAGACATAACTGATTACTTCCAATTTGATGTCACATGGAAGACACTGGAAGATTCAGTTTCCTATAATCAGAAAAAGAAGGAGTTGCAAACTTCATTAACAATACTGAACAAAAATCAAAGAGGAAGCGATTTTGCCCTGCAGAAAGTGATAGAAGAGAAACAAATGATACTTCTGCTCAGGTCAGCACAATCTCTAGAGATTTGTGCAAAACCAACTGATATGTGCCTGAGACAAGAAACAACAGGAATCTCAACAGGTGCTTGAACTGGATCCCTGGCAGCCAGCTGCATGCAAAGCATCGCTTCACTGGGTTGAAACAGTTTCCTCAGCACAACTGAATCCTTTCAGAACACCATTTACCAAAAAGACCCAAACTGAGAGATTTGGCTGCAGCAATAGTTGGCCTTAGATACCCTCGACACTTACACCTTTACTGCAGGAAGCTCCTCCAGTTCCAGTTCATCATCAAGACAGAAAAACTAGATGGCCAAATACTTCGTAAGCTAGCTCTTTTTTGATTATTATTTGGAACAAATACGCAAATTGCAGAATTTCAAGTAGAAGTAAATGTTCTCATACTGCAGAGCACGCACTAAAATATGTGCACGCGCCATCACAAGATTTGCTTCTTTACAAATATGGCTGAACTTGTTTCCATAATGGTTTGTGTTTGTTCTCTTCCCTCTTCACATTTAGTTGATGTAAATTGTAGGTTTCATGTGCTCTGAAATGATGTTCACTTCATCAGCATTTCAGCACTATTTTATCTGTATATAAAGATCCATCCTCACCCCTAAAACTCTTCTTCACATTTTTTACCTCAGATTCTTTATGCTTGGTGCAATACTCTTCCAGTGACTTCCTCCTCTGACTCATCCCCACGAACTAGCACAGCAATTTTGTGTGCCACTCAAGCAGGTTCTGCACATGTCTGGTGTTGCATCACTCCCTGTTGGATGATTTAACAGCACAGCATTGCAAGGTAACCAAGATCATCACGACAAGGTTTTGAAAGAAAAGGACAAGTACCCAAAGTTGATTGCACTTACCATTTTTATCACCTTTTCAAACTAAAGAAATTTATCCACCAATGTTTGTGAATTTAAACAGAGCTCCACTCTGGCTACACTAAATAAAGGAAATAATGTCCTTCCTTTGTGAGTTAAAGAATAAACTGTGCTATGATGGTTCCCAGGGACTGCTGGCTGTCTGGGTAGACTTAAACCAGCCTGAACGACCTGCTGAGGATCAGTGAAGTGCAAAGCTGACCTGGCCACAATTGTGTTGAGTGCTTCTTGGCTACAATTCAACACAAGACTCTATCTCCTCTTAGTGCACGGGTCATATCCTCAAGGCTGCTCTGATGATTGATACAGACATCTGTCAGCATCTCCGGCCTAAATGCCTGACAGGAAAAGTCAATACTCACGATCATGAAATCACACAGAAGTGACAAAGTGAGCAAAACATATTTCTTACACAAGGTGAGATTTCACACCTCCGTTAATCCTTCAGAACCACTTGCAGGGATTTTTCCAGGTGAAGACATGAGTTTGATAAGAGGTGTGAAGCAGACAATTTTACACTGATGTTACTGACAAAGCAACTCTGTATCCACCTTGCTTGAAATCCGCCTTTGGAAGTCTCCAATAAAGAGAAGAATGGAAAATTGGGAAATATATACTGATGGTAACACAGTGGGATTTTAGTTCTGTCTTCTTCCCCCTCTTCTACAAATGTACTGGTCAATTCAAACATAGTATTGACATTAGATCTACACGTGAGGTGCTGGGCAATCAGAAAGAGCTTAAGCTTTAGAGGGAGGTGCACAAATATTTGTCACTGGTGACTTGTTTTATTTCCTCTGTAACTGCAATCCAAAAGTTTCAATTTAAATGTCTGCTTCCACAGGGGAAAAGAGAAGAGGCAAAACTGCGGGACGACAAGACAATCTTCCCACTCAGTAAACAATAAACAATAATATATCCCTTATATGCATTTAGGCAAGATGGAGTTCTCTGGTTGCACTGGTGTAGATGGCAAAGGGAGGGCTGGAATTTTGAACCACAGACTTCCCTTTGCTGAAGGGAAGCAAATTTTGTGCCAAAACTGTGTTGGATGGTACTCACAGGAAGCACCATGTGTTATTATTTGGACGTGAAGTCATAGGTCAAACATGCATCTTCCCCCATTGAGTAAAAAAAAAAAGCTACAGTCTTTTAAATCCCAGTACCAAGACTGCCCTACATAACACAAAGTATAAAATGCCTCAGCCAGGCCCAGGTCTGCTCCACAAACACATCTGCAGACAGAGATGCCACCAGATGCCGTGTGAACATTTCAGGAGGGCAATACTCACGAAATCCCCAGGGATCCAACCCCAGCACTCACTGCAGTAAATGTGTGTGAAGGCAGGTGCATTCTTCATTCTTCAGTTTTTGTCAGAAGAGAAAATATAAGCAGGTGGCACAAGCAAAAAGGTGTGTGGGAGCACAGAGCAGAAACACTGCCTGCACTGGAGATACCAACGTAAGAGAAGGTCAACCAAAGTGCAATTTGCCAACACACTTGTACATCTTTGGGCAGAGGTGTAGTAAAAGAACAAAAGCATTTTGGTATTTTTCAACTTTTTCTTTAAAAAGAAACCCAATCATACTAAGGAAATATCCCACCAGATAACCAAAAGGTTACTCGACAATAACTTCAATTCTCACTCTGGCACACTAGTCATTCCCAGTCCTCCAGGAATCTGCTGTATTGCTCTTCTGAGAGTTCTCAGAGTCCCAGCACACCAATGGAAGGTGGTTAAGTTACACAAAAATCTCTGCAGTGTTGCTTAGGAGCCAATCTTTGGAGTCTATAATGAAAATCAACATCTGTGCATTCCAGAGACTTTGAACTTCAGGTGTTTCACACTTCCTGCTACTCAATTTATGGAAAATGCAAATGAAAGTAAAGCAGATAAATGTTCTTTAACAACAGGAGGGTTTTGTTGTGTTTGAAATCGCATTGTTCTGAGGGAGCAGACTAATTTAGCCACTACCCAGGATACCAAAGGTTATGCTCATAGTGGAGACAAAATAGAACCTGCATGTATTTTGATAAGGTTACATCATCAGGACAACAATAAAAGCAGCTTGCCATTTCTGTGCAGACCAGTTTTCAAGCAGGAGGTGTCTTGTACTCCCCCCTTAATAATGAATCAGGCTGAATGACATTTGAAATGGCAATAATTTCCCCAGGAGATGCAGCTGCAATCTTAGTATTTTCTGTTCTTGCTCTCAATCTGATTTCTCTTATCCACAGTATGAGGCAGCTGAGTATAATGCAGGAAACATTATCAGCAACAATGCTACAATTAATGCTGAAAGAAAATGAATATTTGTCTACAGAAGAATAGGTTTTAGAATACCTAGGGGAACTACTGTACTTTGAAAATGAAGACGTTTTGTGTGTTTATTGAAATGCACTCATATTTCTGTGGTTATACTCTGACTCGTTAACCATATCAAGGTAATAAGTGCATAGGCAGTCTTTACTGTCCTGTATTAAAGCTGTTTACTGAATGCTAAGTAGTTGAGGTCTGTTCAGAAAACAGCCTATTTTGGCTGTAATCCACCTACATGTTTCCACACCTCACTTCTTCCATTATTAAGTCCAAGAACTAGAGAGGTCATGATCATTTTTCTCTGATTCAGAGCTGCAACTGCAGAGGACAACCCAATGTGCAAAGGAGTCCTACAGCAGCAATACAGAACCAAACCATGGAAATAGAGTTTTGTTTCTATTATTGTTGGATATGAAGGTGGACAGACACGGTGGTTTCCCATCTTTTCTATGTCAGGGTTCCTTCTTTTCCAGTATTTAAATGCCAGAAAGACTAACAAGTGTCCCATTCAGCTCCCTGATGAGATGGGATAAAGAAACAGAAGCTGTCAGAACATCCAAGCCTACAACCAAGGCCCAAACTGAAAGGTGTTATTAATAGAGAGAAATAAGCAACTAGACTTCAAACAGCTCTGGACACAATAAGGCTTTAGAACAAGCTAATGCCCCCTTGACCATCTGCATATCATCAATCAGGTCATCCAAGAAAAAGATCTATAAATAACCTATCTGACCAATTCTGAAAAGGCTTTTGATACAACCCTTCATAAGTGCAAATGGCCACATTCAGACCACCTTACTTGTGAGCACAAGAGTCATTTGTCCCTACAAAGCAGCTGGTTGGTCAAAAATCTTTCATGCTCACATTTGATTGCATCCACTGAACAGCACAAACAACAAACCACAGTGAGCCAGCTGCAATCCCTCACCAAGACCTGTGAGCACCAGCAGAAGAGCACAAGTCTTGCCCCAGAAGGTCCATTCTCCTGGCTGGAGCGAGGTAACTTGTCC